ATAGAGACAAATGCTCACATATCCAACACCAAATTTCTCTGTCTCTCCCCTATTAACTTTTTCTCCCTCCTCAATGGTATCCATTCTTTCAAGTTTTACATACTTTTTTCAAGCTTATATATATGTTTTATACATAGTTCATACATGCTATATATATACTTATATGTTTCTACTTCTAGCACTAAAAATAAACTTTTTATCTTACTCCTTCTAAATGTGTTTTTGTGTATGTTTTATAATTAACACATTTTTAGAACATTATCTGCATGTAATTTAGGAACACATAAATGAATATTAGTTAAGGACATGTCTACTCTTTGTGATTTGGAGGCCACTGTTCTAGAGAATGGGAGAATTAAGAGTTAAGCAGGAAAACAAAAAAGAAGTAAGGAGGAGAAGAATTATACCTCTGGAGCGAGCCGATAAAGGGAGTGGAGAGGGAGGGAGAAGGGGGAAGTAAATGCAGGGGTGATTACTGCTCAGAGACTCCCCTGCCTCGAGTCCTAGGGGACCAGACATCAGCGATATAAATATGCACGTCAGTCCTTTGTCAGGACCAGGAAACTGGCCCTTCCTGTCCCTGTCGCCCCACAGCTGGGTCAGTGGGCGTGAAATCTGGGTTATGTGCGGCTATGCGGAAGCCAGAGTCTAGGGTGAACCATGTCCCCGGGAGCTCTTCTGCTGTCAGGCGTGCGGCCACTTCCGGCCTGCTTCCAGCAGGGGAAGTTGCAGCTCAGGGAAGCCTGCTCCCCGAATAAGAACTTGTGTGTGTTCAGCAAAACCCAACTCCCTTGGTGTTCCCAATGGGGTCTGCCATGCCAGTTTGGTCAGTGACATGGACTATCACTCTAAAGCACTAGAGAGATCCTTCCAGAAGCCTCCCCTCCATCCCCAGTCATGTCGTGTAACCATAGTCATCTGTGTTTTGGTAGTAGGCTAATAAACCTCTGCCCCTACTCTCCACACAGCGATAGAAAAGGAGAAAGGAGAGCCAAGAGACAGCCGAGTAGGTGGAAGTTACATCTCAGTTACGGAACAGCGGAACTGAATAACCAGCTGAACTTGCTGAATGTGTCTTATAACCAAGGATTTACAGAAAAAAAGCCACATTGAGACTGGTAGGAAGGATGGAGACAAGAGAAAGGCTGGCCCAGCACCAACATGCAACAGTTGAAAATCTGAAGGTATATCTTAGCCTCACATGTCCTCCCTGAGGAGTGCGGGGCCTAACCCAATGCTGGGTTCCCCAGCCCAGAGCACCAGAGCTGAGAAGAGGTGCTCACATAACATCTGGCTGTTAAAATCAGCAGGGATTCTGTCTGCCAGGGAGAGATGAAAGTCCGCTAGAGGCACAAGCACCCCCTTAAAGGGCCAATGCACCAAATTGCCTTCACAGCCTCACACCCTGGGCTCCAGCAAAGGAAGTGTGTATCAGAGTAGACCAAAGTCATGTGAGGAGAGACTGGATATGTGGCTCCCAGGGAGAGCTAAAGGGACAGTCACCAGAGTCCCTGTGCTGAGTCCCTGTCCCACAACGCCCACAGAAGCCATCTTTCCTGGGCCAAGCACTCCTCTCAGCACTGCATCAGCCTGGAGGAATGCACTGGCGCTACCCTCCACACTTCCTGTGGAGAGCTCAGCTGCCTGGGTCCATGGTGTAGACTTTCTTGGAGGGCTCTTGAGGGCAAACTCTGGGGGGTGTCAGAGACGAGCTGTGTGGCTCTGAGGTGGGGGCAATTTCTCTTGCACCTGCCTGACCCCTGAGGCACCCCCTCAGGGGACCCACTGGCCCCACCCTCCCCACTTCCAGGGGCCCCACCCTGCTAAATTCACACCCTGAAGAGGAGTCATCTGGCTGTGGTCAGCTTGGGCCCTCAGTGCAGACTCCCTTGGAAGGTTCTCAAGGAGGGAGAGACTGGGTTGCGTGGCTCTAGGGCAGGGCCATTATTCACTCTCATGCCCAACTCGTGGTACTGTTCCTGTGCAGAGCCCTCCCTTCATGTGGCCAAATCTTGGCCTTTTGGGACCTGATGAACTCTGCTGGCTACACCCTGAGGACTGCCTGAGACGCTGCCTCCCACGAAGGTCCACAGGCACCCAGCAACTTTTGCTGAGTGGCCCCAGTCCCAGCACAGGCACCGAGTTTGATTCTGGGTTAATATGGTGAACACTGCTCGTGCCTACCAGGTCACTCACTGAGAACTTACCTTACCCGACTTGTATCCCACCAGAGCCTCTTTCAGGGACTGAGTGTAATAGGCAGCAACAAGCAGAGGCAGATGTGAGAATGCCTTGGTTCTCTTGCTGACCTACTGCTAGGCTCCTTGCTGGTGGGAGCCTGCCTTGGTGTACAGGTTGGCTCACACACACCCAAGCCCAGCAGAGGCAGCCACAAACTGTGGATCACTTTGTAGCTCTAAACAGGTAACCCAGGGCCAGTGACAGGAAATGTCTGATATTGAACTGCACCAAAGTCCCTTCCAAGAGGCCCCAGAACAAATACATGTAGTGGCGGATTCAAACCATATCAAAGCACAACCCAATTAACTCCACAAGTGGCGTTAACACCCACTTAACACCCAAAGGGAGATCTCAGCAGGCACCAGACCCTTCTGAGGCAACTTCCACTTTATAAGGTCAGTCCCCACACAGGAGCTTTACATTGCGGTTGGAGTCAATCCTCACAGACAGCCAGTTCAAGAACCATCCCACCCAAGGACCAGTCAACAGCAAACAGGACTCAATTACAACGGCAGGTTTCACATAGCACACACGAAGGACATTCCTGGAGCACCTAGCTCAGGTGATCAGGGAGATAGCACCACTAGCCCACAAGACACTACATGAGGCCACCATACCAAGACAGGGAGGCATAGCAGATCTACCTAATACACAGAAACAATTACAGGGAGGCAACCAAAATGAGGAGGCAAAGAAACATGCCCCAAATAAAAGAACAGGAGAAATACTCATAAAAAGAACTAAGTGAAATGGAGAGAAGATACAAGCAACCAGAAACATAGTTCAGAACAAGGTTATAAGGGTGTTCGAGAAACTTAGTGGAAGAATAGACAAATTCAGTGAGAACTTAAACAGAGAGATAGTAAACATAAAAAGAGAGCCCCAGCTGGGGTGACTCAGGAATTGAGTGCCGGCCTGTAAACCAAAGGTTTGCTAGTTCGATTCCCAGTCAGGGCACATGCCTGGGTTGCATGGGCCAGGTCCCCAGTGGGTGGCATGTAAGAGGCAACCATACATTGATGTTTCTCTCTCTTTCTTTCTCTCTCTCTTCCCCTCTCTCTAAAAATAAATAAAATCTTTTAAAAAAATTATGAAAGAGAGAGAAATGAAAGCTATAGAAAAACTAGTTTAAAAATGGAGAATACGATATTTGAAATGAAAAATACACTAAAAGAAATCAACAGCAGATTAGATTAAGCAGAAGATCCAGTCAGCAATTTAGAAGACAAGGTAACAGAAACACCCAATCGGAGCAGCAAGAAGAAGAAACAATTTTTAAAAGTGAGAATAGTTTAAGGGACCTATATGACAACATGAAACATAAGAACATTTACACCATAGAGGTGGCAGAAGGCAAAGAGGGACCAAGAGATTGTCTATCATCAATAAATCCACAAATAGTTAAGTGTTGGTGAAGATGTATAGAAAAGGGAACTCTCATGCACTGTTGGTAAGGATGCAGTACAGAGGGTCCTCAAAAATTAAAAATGGAGCCCTGGCCAGTATGGCTCAGTTGGTTTGAGTGTCATCCAGTAAATTGAAATGTCATGGGTTCGATTCCCAATCAGGGCACCTGTATAGGTTGCAGGTTCCGTCCTTCGCTGGGATATGAATAAGAGGCAACAGATCAATGTTTCTCTCTTGCATTGATGTTTCTCTCTCTCTTTCCCTCCTCCCTTCCTCTCTCTCTAAAATCAATGAGAGTGTCCTCAGGTGAGGACTTAAAAAATTTAAAATGAAGCTTCTTTATGACCTAGCGATTCCACTTGGAGGTATATTATCTGAAGAAATCCAAAACACTAATTTGAAAGAATATATGCACCCCTATGTTCATTGCAGCATTATTTACAATAGCCAAGGTATGGAAGTAACCCAAGTGCCAGTCAATAGACTGTTGGATAAAAAAGTTGTGGTGCATATATACAATGGAATGTTACTGGGTCATACAAAAACATAAAATCTTACCAGTTAGGACAGATGAATCTAGAGGATCTTATGCTAAGTGAAATAAACCAGTCAGAGAAAGACAAATACCATATGATTCCAGTTATATGTGGAATCTAAAGAACAAAATAAGTGAACAAACAAAACTGAAACAGACTCATTTGAAAAAGAAAACAGACTGATGATGACTGCCAGAGCAGGTGGGGTTGGGAGACAGGGTGAAAAAGGTGAAGGGATTGAGAAGTACAAGTTGGTAATTACAAAATATTCATGAGGATGTAAAATGCAGCATAGGGAATAGAGTCAGTAATATTGTAATAACTATATAAGCTGCCAGGTGGGTACTTGAAATATTGGGGGAAAACTTTGTAAAGTATGTGATTATCAAACCATCATGCTGTACACCTGAAACTAATACAAAATAGTATTAAATGTAAACTGTCACTGAAAAAAAATTTTAAACGTGAAAAGGAACACAGAAAAGGAGCAGAAGTGAGAAAGCCCCCCAACACCTTCGATGTTTTATCATGCCTGAGCTCTCCTCACGTGAGGAAACACAATGGTAATATTCTGTGCACATGCTTCTTGCCCTGCCTTCTTGGAGCTGAGTGATTGGGATGTTCACTCAATTCATTTTATAATTCACATCTTTTACACAACTCAGCACTCTTGCTGCTCGCTCCCACCTGCCTCTCTCCACCGGCACATCTGGAGGGGCTGTGTGTTTTGGGGCTGGGGGTCACTGATTCAGACAAATGCCTACAAAAATTGGAACTTCAACTTTTGTCTGTTTTTTTTTTTTCTTTTCTACTTAGGAGAACCAGGACATCCTGGTGGTCCAGGGAAGGATGGAATGAATGGAGAAAAAGGAGAACAAGGTCAGAAATTGTGTTCCATTTTACCATGCACTAACTCTGAACTATCAATGATTTAGCAATAATTATTAAGTTCTTACCAAGGACAAGTACTTTACTAGGCTGTGGGAATGACCCAACAATACAGGGAACAGAGTTCTTGCTCTCTAGAAGCTCATAATTCAGTGCAGAGATCAGCAAATTTTTTTCTGTAAAGAGCCAGAAAGAAAAAATTTTCAGCTTTGCAAGCCACATGGCCTCTCTCTGTCACCTGATTCAACTCTGACATTGTAGCAAAAATCTGCTGTACACTCTGTGTAAATAAGTGGGGAAGTGTTCCAGAAAAATCTCTGTGAAAACTGAAATCTGAATTTTACATAATTTTCATGTATTGCAGAATATTTGTGACTATGTAAAGATGTAAACAATTCTTAGCTTGTGGGACATACCAAATCAGACAGGAGGCTAGATTTGGTCCATGGGATATTGTTTGCTGAACCTTAGTTAGTGTGTGACATTGAGGAATGACACTGAATTTTGACTCAGTGAGTCTGGCAGCACTACATGGAGAGGGTGGCACTTGAGTTGGGAGTGAAGGGAAGGGGGGACTGTTGGCAATTGTGACTGATGGGAATGGAGAATGGTCATGATGGCAAACATGCAACACTCATTTTGTGCTAGGTTGTTCCAAGTGATTTTCATGTATTGATTCACTTAGTACAACAGCCTATAAATGAAGTAATATTATTATCCCAATATTATGGAGGAGGAGAAAAAAGAGGTGTCAGTGGCTAGTCAGTTTGCCTAACATCCCACTGTGTCTAAGTGGTGGAGAGAGGATTGAATTCTGGTGTTTAACTTCAGAGTCCATGCTCATAACCACTACTTGTCAATCAAGGCGAAGGAAACGGGGAAGCACCGAGCTGAGTAACAAATAGTGCGAGATAGTTGGCACAATGGACAGGCCAGGCTGGACAGTGGTGAATGCCACACTGAAGACTTTAGTTATTGTTCATTCCCATGAGGAGCTTTTTTGGGGATGTCACATAATTGTCAGTTCACTGAAAGTCCCCTGAGTTACCTGTATTTTACCATGTATAATGTACACTTTTTTTTTGCCCAAATTTTTTGAGGAAAAATAAGGATGCACATTATACATGAGTATAATGATTAGATACCATGGGTATAATAATCCCATGTATAATGCGCACAAAAACGTGGGTGCATGTTATACATGGAAAAATATGGTGATCTGCCCTTTGCTGTTCTCTCTATTCCAAAGATGTGTTTCCTCAAGGCAGCATTGTTTAGTGGTCAAATATATAGTAGACTTTTAAGGTAAAGAGTTGTACTTTCAGACTCACTGCTGCTTGAACCTGAGTCTCAGCCTCTCACCTTCCTTCCTAAACAATATGTGCTTCAGCACTTGCTCCAGCTTCTCCACAAACTACAGGACCCTGGGCACCATGCCATTGCCCAGCCACTGGGTCTGGCTGGCCAGGAGCACGGTCAGTGTCTTTTAGGCATGGGGAGCTCAGGCTCACAGATCTCTGTGTCCCACTTCACTGGTATGTGGGGCAGCTGGGGATCTGGGGGCCTGGTTGCAGGGATGGCCAGGCATCTGGCGGGCATAGGCAGCGTCGAGAGCATGAAGGATACTATGCAATCCCTAAGTGACTACCTAGTCTCCAACCTGGAGAGAGTGAGAAGCCTGGAGGTGGATAATCGGAGACTGGAGAGCTAAATTTGGGGACACATGGAGAGGAAGGGAGCCCAGGTCAGAGACTGGGGGCACTATTTCAAGACCATTGAAGACCTTGAAGGCTCAGATCTTTGCAAGTTCTGTGGACAATGTTGCATTGTTCTGCAGATTAACAAAGCCCATCTCGCTGCTCATGACTTCAAAGTCAAGTATGAGATAGAGCTGGCCATGTGCCAGCCTGTGGAGGATGACATCATTGGGCTCCGAAAAGTCACTGATGACACCAATATCACTCGGCTGCAGCTGGAGACAGAGATCAAGGCTCTCAGGGAGGATCTGCTCTTCATGAAGAAGAACCATGAAGAGGAAGGAAATGGTCTACGAAACCAGACTGCCAACTCTGGGTTGACCGTGGAGTTGGATGCCCTTAAATCTCAGGACCTCAGCAAGATCATGGTGGATATCTGGGCCGAATATGAAGAGCTAGCTCAGAAGAACACAGAGGATCTAACCAAGCACTGGTCCCAGCAGATTGAGGGGAGCACCACGGTGGTCCCCTGGCAGACCGCTGAGATAGGAGCTGCTGAGATGACACTCATAGACCTGAGATAAACAATTGAGTCCTTGGAGAGTGACCTGAGCTTGATGAGAAACTGAAGGCCAACTTGGAGTGCAGTCTGTGGGAGGTGGAGACACGCTATGCCATGCAGATGAAAAAGCTCAAAGGGATCCTTCTGCACCTGGATTCAGAGCTGATCCAGACCTGGGCAGAGGGACAGCACCAGGCCCAGGAGTACGAGGCCCTGCTGAACATCAAGGTCAAGCGGCAGGCTGAGACTGCCTCCTGGAAAAAGGGGAGGACTTCAGTTTTGGTGATGCCCTGAGCAACAGCCACTCCATGCAAACCATCCAAAAGACCACCACCCGCAGGACTGTGGATTGCAACGTGGTGTTTAAGGTCGACGACACCAAAGTTCTGAGGCATTAAAGGCAGTAGAAGTGGGGAACCCTTGTTGGGGTAGGAGGCCAATAAAAAGTTCAGAGATCATTGAACATTAAAAAAGAGGTGTGCTTTCTAATGTGAGGTCTGACACTAGTTTAGCAGTGTTTTGTGTGGGTGCATGTGCAGGTGCACAATTTAGGAGTGAATGGATTTTCAAACCTGAGCATACGCTGAAACTGTACACTGTTTTATCAGACTTACATACTCCATAGTAGAAAAGCCAAAGTTGCTTTCACAAGGTATGTTTCACAAATCATTTCTTCCTTTGCTCTCTCTTTCCCTACCTAGGAGCAGATGGAAAAGTTGAAGCAAAAGGCATCAAAGGAGATCCAGGCTCCAGAGGACCCCCAGGGAAACATGGGCCCAAGGGCCTTGTTGGCGCCATGGGGCAGAAAGGCCTCAGAGGAGAGACTGGTCCTCAAGGGCAAAAGGGGGAGAAAGGTGATGTGGGTCCCATTGGTCCAGAAGGGCTAAAGGGCAACAGTGGACCGTCGGGCCCAACTGGTTTACCTGGCCCCATAGGCCCCAGTGGAAAGCCTGGTCCCAAGGGAGATGCTGGGCCCCTAGGACCTCAGGGTGAGCCAGGAGTCCGGGGATTGAGAGGCTGGAAAGGGGATCGAGGAGAAAAAGGGAAAACCGGTGAGATTCCAGTCCTGCCAAAAAGTGCTTTCACTGTGGGGCTCACTGTGCTGAGCAAGTTTCCCTCTTCAGATGTACCCATTAAATTTGACAGGATCTTGTATAATGAATTCAACCATTATGACATAGCTACGGGAAAATTCATTTGCCACATTGCCGGGGTCTATTACTTCACCTACCATATCACTGTTTTCTCCAGAAATGTACAGGTATCTTTAGTCAAAAATGGGGTAAAAATGCTGCACACCAAGGATGGTTACATCAGCTCTGAGGACCAGGCCTCCAGCGGCATTGTACTGCAGCTGAAGCTTGGGGACGAGGTGTGGATGCAGGTGACGGGAGGCGAGAGGTTTAATGGCTTGTTTGCAGATGAGGATGATGACACAACTTTCACGGGCTTCCTTTTGTTCAGCAGCTAATGGTGGAGACATGTTTATAAACCTGCTTTGCCATCCATCTGAATTAGCACGGTGAAGACATGATTGGATGATTTTTCTGTATTAATTACTCTTATTATTGTAATACTTACAAAAAAGGTAAAAATATAAAAGTGAATCTTAAAACCAATTCTATGTAATTGACTATCTTTCTTAGAGTAACTTTTAAATACATTATTCATTATAATTTATTTCATAGTTTTTATTATTTTCATTATCTGAAAAATCCTTTGCATGTGTGTCTTGTGGAAAAAGTGTTTTTATACCATTTTAGTGCTCAAAGGAGCCATAGTATGATTTATCTCTCCTCTGTGCTTCTGGGGACATTAGGGAGAAACAAAAGGAAAATGTTTTCTCCATTTAGTCACTAATGAGTGTTAAGCTGGTGGTAATGAGACATCCCCAAAAGGGGCAGAACACTTCACTCATATTCTAACTTAGGTTTTAATTGCCATTCAATTCAACAAATAGTTATTTAGCAAACCATTCTGCCAGACTTGAATTAGTATTACTTTCTCAGGATTGCCATAACAAAGTGCCACAATCTGGGTGGCTTGAAACGACAGAAATTTATTCACACAGTTCTGGAGGCCGGAAGTGCAAAATCAAGGTATTGGCAAGGCCAGGTTCCTTACAAAACCTCTGTGTGAGAATCCTTCCTTGCTGCTTCCAGTTTCTAGTAATCCCAGACATTCCTTGGCTTGTGGCAGCATCATTCCAAGCTTTATCTCTGACTGCACCTGGCCATCTTCACTCTATGTCTGCACACATATCTCCCTCTTCTTAAAGACACTAATATTGGACTGGGGCCCTCTCTAATCCAGTATGATGTCATCTTAATCTGATTACATCTGAAAGACACTGTTGCCAAATAAGGTCACATTTACAGATACCAAGTGTTAGGACTTCATTGTATCTTTTTGGGAGACACGATTCAACCTGTAACAGTCCGTTCGCTGGTCCCTTCAAATTCATGTCCTTCCCATGTGCAGAATATAGTCCATCCCATCCCAACATCCCAAGAGGTCTTAACAATTATAGTATCAACTCTAAGTCCAAACCTCTCATCTAAATAGCCTTAACTCAAAGTCCCAGATCTTAAGATCTTAATCATTTAAGTCAGTTATAGTCAGATCTATTGTGTGAATCATTCTGGGGCAAAATTATTCTACATCTATGGACCTGTGAAACCAGACAGCATGTTATGAGCTTCCAAAACAATGATGACACAAACGTAGGACAGACACCCAAAAGGGAGAAATCAGAAGGAAAAAAGGAGTCATGGGTTTCAAATAAGTCTGAAACTCAGCAAGGTAATTCCCATTGGATTTTTTCACTACTTATCTTCTAAAATTTTAAATGAGCTACACAAGAGAAAAAGGTTATTAAACAGAGACACTAGAGTTATAGTTTGAGGTAAAGAATAGGGTCGAATTTACTAAGAGAGTGGAGTAAAAGGAAAACTTGTCCTTCAGGCCAACAGATAACATATCTTATTCAAACAGGTACCATCCACTTCCCTTTCTTCTGATGAAAGTAGCCTAATGTCCACTCTCAGGCCCCCAGTCTTTCAGTTGTAGGCTCTATTCCTGTAGGGGGTGGGGCCGGACACAGGACCCAGGTCTGACTAATGAGAACAGCACCTCCTTCTGGTCATGGTAATGATTTCCGAGATGGCACATGATCCAATCAGAGAAAATGAAATGCCATCTGCAACCGTGGACCGCCCATTGGAAAAAAAAGACAAGGTCTTTCTCTGCTAAAGTTAGGATTTGAGCTGGTAATCATTTTGCTAATCTATACAGTGGGAGAACCAAGCCAAACAACTGGAGAGAACCCAGCCACGAGGACATTGCTTAGGGCCCTAAATCCAGCTTTACCTAAAGGTAGAATACTCCTGGAATATTTTATGTGAGTCACCAAATTCTCTCTTTCTTTAAACCAGTTTGATGCAGGCTTTTATTGTTACTACCATCTTCTTTTAAAAGAATCTTAGGTGATTTATGGTCCAAGGAGAGAGACAGCATGGTTATAGTGGAAAAACTCAAGACAGAATTGTGATACGGGTTGTTGTTCCAGCCATGACAAAGGAATTTGAATTGCAGGTGTTATTTAGCCTTTCTGTGCCTCAGTCTCCTATGGTGCAATAGTGGCTTTGATCCTCAAGAGTTAACTTGATACACTTTTCTACTAGTAGAGAGCAACTATGATGCAAGCTCAATGCATATTCAAGCTACAGCATTTTCTTAACTACAGGCCGGGATGAGTTGTCTGACATAACGTACCACTTAAAATTGGGACTTACAGCCATTCCATCCATACTTCAATCAAGTCAGTGTAGTTATGGTGATATCTTCATTCTCTGGAAAAGTGAATGAGCAGGGCGCACACCAATTGATGAAATACTAAAAAATTACTTGTTGGATAGGGAATATTTTGAAAATAATTTCTATTTATAGGTATTTTGTTGGCCTTCATTAATATATATTTCTTACAGAACAGAGCCAGGACTAGGGTAAAGCAGGTAAGACATCCAGGGTGTAAAATTTAAGGAGGCACTCACTCTCAGCTGCTGACACTGCATGCACATGACTCCAAGATTGAGTGCCTCCTTAAAATTTACACCTCAGGTTGGGAGCTTGTTTCATGGTCTGTTCAACTACAGAATGACTGACTGATCATTTTACTTACTTTTTCAGCCAGAGTATTCTTATTCTTTGGCTTTTTTTTTTTTAATTGTAATAACCCAAGCTGTTTTTCTCCTGTGTAAAGTCTAGTTTTGTAGGGACCCAGTATGGGAATACGGGTGTTTAGTCCCTCTAGTTAAGACCACAACTTGATAGACTGAGATAAGCATTTTTTTAAAAAAGTACAACTATGGCAAAGAAATAGGATACAGGTTTTTATAAAATAATTTTTATAAGGCAAATAAAGAAGATGAGATGTAAAAAATGTTTTAAAGATCTTCAGAAAGATAACATTGACCAGGGTGGGGTTAGGGGATCTAATCTGCCATTTGAGATTATTTCTCACTGGTTGTCTGTGAATCTGAACTGCAATTTTAAAAAGTCAAGCTATAACAGGTTCTCCGAGATAGAAGGCACCTTTTTAACTTAGCACAAGTTCATCATTATCCATTGAGGGTGCTTTTAGGCTTAAATGTTTGCAGTATACATGTTTGGGTACCCTTGTATAAAAACCATTTTGAGCTAAAGAAAAGCACTCAGATTTGAAACCCGTTTTTAAAAAAGATGATAAAATGAGCATTTTTTTCAAATATATTGATGACTTTTCTTTGTCACATGACATATTTGATCTCTTTGTAAGGCCTGCTATGTAGGCATTGGGGCTGCAATGTGGGGTGGCTGCCACCAGGAAACATGAGTCCCCTACGGACCAACCAGGTACAGATAATGTGGTATTAATAACGTGGAGTTAGGGATTTAGAAATTTTAAATAACTTTAAGTCTTTGATTAAAAATTTAGTAGAAAAGGAAATTACAACTTACCACATATACACAATGAAATAAAACATTTATAGTTAAGTTGCAAAGGATTGTAGAGGTACACAATAATATTGTCTTAACTAAATTTTAATTGTTATTTATCATTGTCATCATCATCATCACCACCATTTGGGCTTTTCCTCCCTATTTGGCTAAACTGGAAACAAACTCTATTTAAAATTAAAATATTGGAGGGGCAGGGGAACATTTAGAAGCTGCCTATAGAGAGCATGCAGCACTCTTGATCTTCCTCTCTGGCTCTCTGGCACTTTAGAGGAGGCCCTTAGACCGCTCAAACCCAGCAGGCAATGTTGTTCCTCTGTGCCAAAAACAGTCAGGTGGGATAAAGCTCTGATTAACACACATTTAAGGACATGTAACTAGTTTGCAAGAGGAATAAAAGGGTTCATTTGGGCTCTTGCTCCTTTGTACAAGTCACGCCTCTGGTATCCATGGCAAACGAATCTTGCTTTAATTTGTTCACAGAAGACCAAAGCCCCCAATGCCCTCTGCATTCAGACAATGATTTATTCAAACCATTGGGAATCCAGTTCCTGCCTGAAGCCAAGGTGGAGAGATGCTATTATGAGGAGCTGGCAGAAAGCTGTATAACAGCTCTCCCTTCCTGTTCTCCTAGGCGGTCTTCTTCCTCACACCCAGTCATCTGGCTTCACTTCTACAAAAAGGTCAGTTCTCAAAGGGCCACTCCGATGTCGATTGTAATTCAGCTGCCCCATCCACTGAGACATCAAGAAATGGTAGGTGACTGGAGACAGCCAGGCAGAATGTGAGAGAGTGTTGTTCTGACAGCCTCACTTTGCCTCAGTTCCTTTCCCAGCTATTGGTTCTCCCCTCTTTGCCCACAGATGCCTCTCAAAATAAAAACACCCTCCTGTTGCCCTGGCAGTTCAATCGCTTGAAGCGTCCTCCCATACACCAGTGGGCTGCGGGTTTGATGCCCAGCCAGAAAGTGGTCGATCAAGATGTTTTCCTCTCCCACCCATGCTTCTCTCTCTCTTTCCCTTCCTCTCCCTCTGAAATCAGTAAACATATCCTGTGGTGAGGATAAATTTAAAAAGTTTAAAAAAAACCCCACATCTTATTATTAGCAAGATCTTTTCACGTACTGTCTACACACTCCTAGAAGGTACATGAGATACCTAGTCAATTGCCTTTCGGCAGATGAGAATGTTTAAGTTTGGCAAGGCAAAGCCTCGGAACCTGGACAATGACCTGGTTACCTCGCCAACTGTGGTGTGACTTCCTTTAATTTGGAGGAGGCAGAGGCTCTCAAAGCGCCTCCCACCCTCGTCCTAGAAGCACCATTCCACACTCCCCATCCTAAGCCCCAATTCACAACTTCCTAATGCTTCTCCTGCCCCCAATCTTTTCATTCCCGTCTTGTTGATTGAAGTTTGGCGAGATCCTCCATCTTTAAATTTATATTGCAGGTTATTATAATAATTTTCCAAGTCAAAATGGATTAAGATTTATTGATAGTTATTTTACTTGGTCCCACACAACCATAG